GTGCAGTGGTGGAAAGGGGCTCAGGACCCCACCCCGCTCCCCAGGAAAAGCCAGGGAGGGCTCAGGGGATGCTTGGATGGGAAGGAGAGGAGAACTTTTTACCTGGGGGACCCGTGGCTGGGCTTAGGGAAGGAGCTGGGCTGGGCTGGGCCTTGCAGAGATACTTGGGATGCGTCTGCTTCTGGGGGTCCTGGGATGGGAGCTCCTTGTTCTGCCTCTAGCCCTTAGCACAGGCTCCCTCCCTTGGGCTCAGCTCTTTGCCTCTCCCCTGGTCCAGTGGTGTTGGGATTTGCCTGGTGGGAACTGTGCTGGGCTGAACGAGGCCAGGCTAACCTACCCCACACTGTCCTGGGTTCAGCTGAGCCTGCTTGACCCAAGCTGGGCTGAGAGTGGCTGGGCCGGCTGGGTCAGTGACAGGCGACAGGGAGCCCTCCTGACCTTGGGGAGCCCTCCGTGTCCGGCCTCGAGAGCTGGGGCACAGGCTTCCTCTGTTTTGGTTACTGAGGCTGCTCCTCTGTGTCCAGAAGGGCCATGTCAGGCTGGCCCCAGGCCTGGCTTTGCTCTGGGTGTGGAGGGAGGAGGGAAGGGAAGCTGCTCTCTCTGGCTGCGGTTGCATTTCTCAGTGTGGTCCCCACCCCAGCCCTTCTGCCTTATTTCAGAGCAGGGGATTTCTTCGGAAAGGAGGTTTTCAGCCTTTGTCGCTCTTGAGCCCCAAACCGCACACGGGGCAGGAGGGTCCCAGCAGCAGGGAATCGAACAGCCCAAGAGCTGAGCTCACTGCAGGGACAGCGGGGCAGCTCTACCCATCAAGGAGGCCTTAAGCCTCTTCCTCCTGAGCTAAAAGAGAACTGACCATCTCCTGGTGCAGTACAGGGCATATGACACAATTTAGAGGTTCTGATTCTCTCCATCAGAGGGCAGTGGGGTGTGTGTCACACGTCTCTGTGTGTGTGCACGCGTGCACGGAGGACTTAGATGCACTGCGATATGATTTATGTATGTGTATCTACCCATGCATGTGGCATCACAAGCTATTTAAGACCCAGTGCGGGGTTTTTTCAGGCACGTTGAACCCCATCAAGTGCATTTTTTAGCAGTTGAAGTTAAGTTTTTAATGTGGAAAAACAAAAAAAAAAGCAAGAAAGGAAGCCAGACCAATTCTCACGGGTCTGGGTGAGTAACTGGCTTTGCAAGCCTTTCCTCCCTGGTTTACATCCAGCAGGGATGGGTGTGAAGGGTTAGGGGTGATCAGAAGAGCGCTGGAGGTAGGCCAGAGGGAGGAGAGCGCCTTTCTGTCAGCTGAAAATGTGGTGAATGCAGCTGAAGGGGAAAAAAAATGAGGCCAGCCCCTTTCTCACCTCCTAAGCCCCCACCCTATCCCACAAACAGCTGGGCTGTTTTGTTGCTGAGCCTGTTTGGTTGTTAAAGAGGGTGGTCACAGGAAGGTGTCTGTGGGGTAGACAGCAATGAGTCGGTTCCCACCATAGGATCATTTCATGTCTCTGTTTGGTGCGGGGGCCAGTCCTGCCTCTGTCCTTTCCCTCCCTTTCCTGCGGGGAGCAAGGACTCGGTGTGTCATAATCAGAGCATGTGCAATGTCTAAACAGTCAGAAACAAACTCCTGATACAGCTAATGAGACGTCACACATCTGTGCTCAAAGCTGCGCATACACATCCTGGGCTCAGGAAATCAATCATAGCCGCGTCTCTCTGCACCAGGCCTCTCACCTGCCGTCTACCTTTCCTAGAATCGTAGATCATCCTTTCCAAGCATGCAGGGGTTAAAATTGCGATGGGTAAAAAACGGGTGGAATCTAGTGAATTTGAGTGAAATCTAGTAAATTGTTTCAGCTGGAAAAAAAAAAAAATCCCAGGGCAAAAAACACCCAGAAATGTCCAAACAGGCCATCACGGCATTTCCAAAGTGAAAGAGCAGTAGCTTCACAAGAAGGCTTGGGCATCATTCACAGGACTGAAGAAGCAGTGCCCCCTCCACAGCTAGTCGTTGAGGCACTTTCCGGGGATAGGGCATGCCGGGTTGCAGTCCCTCTTCTGCTGGACCAGCAGCCAGCAGTGCCCTGCAGTGGGTTTCCCTCCATCTCCCCTGCTGTCAAGTCTCCCACTTTGCATGTATATAAATGTTGTCTGAGGCTGGGCCTGCAACCCAGGTGAGCGCCATAACCAGCAACCTCGTTCCCTGGCCCCAGGAATGGAGAATTTGTCATACACAGTGGACAACCTCCAGCCGGAGGGATTGAGAGAAACCTCCCCCAGCGCTTGCTGGTAGGGAAAAGCCACGTTCAGGTCCTTGAGTAGGGATGAAATAGGGATATGAACATCATTCACTCCAAAATTTTCTGGTTTTTATCCTTAGGCTATTGTGTTTCAGCTCGGTCCTCTCCAAACTCACTTCCTTTTAACTACATCCGTTCTCTTTGGGCATGTCTACATGAGACACTTACTGCGCATTAGCCTAATAACATTGAGCAGTAGCATGTCATGGCAAAAGCCGTGCTCATAGCCGACTGTGCAGTGTTATTACGCTAATGCACAGTAAATATCACTAAATAACCGTGCACCGGTGCTACTGCACAGTAACTCTAGGTACTGCACATTGAGTTAGTACTTTATTAAGGAAGTACTAATCTAAATGCTCAGTATCTAAGGCACATCAATGAACACGTAGATGTGCCCTTTGTAATGTTTTCTTCCTGAGCTTTTTCACCCAAGTGCTCGTCGTCTGGCCCCAGATTGGGGTCGCGCTCTAGCATTGTTATGCTTTTATGAAAAGGGCAATGTGGAAACACTGGAGAGACATCAAAGCCGGGTCACAAAAGCTGGCCAGGGCTTGGGAAACAAGGCGTTCTGCACGAGAAACTTGACCCCACCAGACTGGCTTATTGATGAGAAGACCGAGAGGTGTTTTAATTGTTTTGTCTCTGTCCTGGCACACGTGGAAGAGATCTGCTGACGTGGGGAGTGGGCGAGGGCTTTCAGTCTTGCTGGCAGAGGCATAGCGAGATCCAGTGGTTGGAAGATGAAGTGAGGCTGATTCAGGCTGGCTAATAAGATGCAGTTTCATAGAATCACAGACATCGAGGGCTGGCAGGGACCTCAGGAGGTCACATCTAGTCCAACCCCCTGCTCAAAGCAGGATCAGCCCCAACTACATCATCCCAGCCAAGGCTTTGTCTACCAGGGTCTTCAAAACCTCCAAGGATGGAGACTCCATCACCTCTCTGCATAACCTGTTCCAGTGTTTCACCACCCTCCTGGTGAGAAAGTTTGTCCTAATATCCAACCTCGACTTCTCTTGCTGCAACTTGAGCCTATTGCCCCAGCAGACTTCCTGCCTATGGCATGGGGGCTGTACTCCATGATCTCGCAAGGTCCCTTCCAGCCCCTAATGTCTATGAATCTATGACTCTGCCCCCACCGAGAACAGCCCAGCCCCATGCTCTTTGCAACCCCCCTACAGGGACTTGAAGGCTGCTATTCAGTCTTCTCTTCTCCAAACTAAATCAGCCCCATTCCCTCAGCCTCTCCTCACCAGTCATGTCCCCCAGCCCCACAGCCATTTTCATTGCCCTCCACTGGGCTCTCTGCAATGTGTCTACATCTGTTCTGTAGTGGGGGGCCCACAGCTGGACACAAGACTCCAGAGGTGGCCTCCCCAGTGCTGAATAGAGGGGAAGAATCACTTCCCTTCATTTGCTGGCAATGTTCCTACCAATGCAGCCCAGGATGTCGATCACTTCATTTCCTAGCACTGAGGGCAATGGAAGAACAGCAGGGCAGGAGAAATGGCAAACTCACCATAGCTTATAGACATTAAGGCAGATGATTACATTACTTTCCAGAGAACAGGCTTTTATCCATCTTCTGGGAAGAGTCCTATAGCCTGTGGGGAGGGCTGGGTGTCAGGCAAGCTACTTGGGGTGGTCTCATCTGGCCTCGGGGTCCGTGCCCCTTTCAATCCCCCTTTTCAGTCGTGGGCCACAGCATGCTCAGGACACTTGCAGCGCTGCATTAAGGCAATGGCTCTCATCCTTCAGGGCTTCAGCCTGTCCCCTGCAGGGGTCAGGAAGGACCTTTTTTTCCTACCGATGCACAGTTGGCCAGATCGATGCATTTTGGGTTTTCTTTTGCTTTTCTCTGAAAGATTAGAAATGTTGGCTTCTCCTAGGATGGATACTAGGGTGTGATCCATCTCTCCCCTAA